TCGGGAGGCGCTGACCTGGGACGCTCGCCGCCCGCTCGGAGTTCGGGGCTCTCGGAAGCTTGTCTAGGGGGGACGTGTGAAGCGGACGGGCTGGAAAAATGGTTAATTGCTCGGAGAAATTACTGGTTTCTCCTCCAGACGTAGCTCTAGAAGCCAAGGCAAAGTTTTGCGACGGGGCACAACGTGGGCTTGCTCATTCTTGTGTCTTCGCCCGAGGTCGCACCCTATGACCTTAGACTCCTCACAAAATTGTTTTCAAAGCTGCGGTATCGGAAGTTTGCAACGGGACGCTCTCAAGCTATGGTTCTTGGACTTCTGGCCTCTCAATCATTCAGGGTACAGGCTAAAAACACAGATCGGAGTTTCTGACAGTGAAACACAGAAAAAAATGGGAGCTGGGAGTGGGGTCTTACAGATTTACCAATACCTGGGGGACTCGTGTGAGTTTGTGAGCCTCATTTTTTAAAAAACTTGTAAATACACCAAAGTTTAACTTTTTCTTTCATCCAAAGGAAACGATTGCCAAGGAAAACTCACTCAGTGAAGCGGTGCTTGAGTAATTTAAGGTAAATATTGAAGCGAATGAATCAAGACAATACATGCATATTTTTCAGGAAACGAATTAAAAATAACAAACCAGGCGGTGATGGCGCACCCCTTTAATCCCAGCACTCGGGAGACAGAGGCAGGTGGATCTCTGAGTTTGAGGCCAGTCTGGTCTATAGAGCAAGTTCCAGGATAGCCAGAGCTACATACATAAAGAAACCCTGTCAAAAAGCAAATGATGATGATGGTGACTATTGTGCCCAGATCACGGGGTCCCCCTAAAACCAACCAAGAGACCGAGTCCTGTATGTAAAAGCAAAGAGCCTTTCTTCTTACACAAGTTTGCAAACTCGAACTCTCCGGGTGTCCAACGTATTGGAGTAATCGGAGAGCCCCCAGCTCTGTTAGCTTGGGTTTTTATAGTAGCGAAGGTGGGGGTGAGGGATTTCTAAGGACCCCAGGTTGACTGGCATTTGTCCTAGTGAAAAGCGATGGGTGTGTGCTGGCAGGTGATCCTATCTACAACGGATGGAACATTAGGAACATTAGGATGGAACATTTCCTTTGGATGGTCTGCTGGTCTGCTCCTGCGTGATGCCGGGATAGTCTCAGTTTATGGTCTTTCCTGGAACCAGGTATTGCCTCAGAATAAACGACTGAGACTCGGGCCTCTATTGAGCTTGTCATGGCTGGGTCCTATAATGATAATAAGCTGAGCAGTGGCTGAATTTATTCGGTGTTCTTTAAAATACCCGCCTTTTAACTAGCCTCTGACTACAGCTATTTCTTGAGCTCAAGACTTCTAGACAGCTAGTAACACGTGAGGCAGGGAGAGCATAGGGGACCACTCTTATACAAACCTCCTACTATTGTATAGTTTTGTAAGCACAAAAGAGAGTAAACTCTGGATTTGTAACTGAAACAAATTGTGTCTTTTGGCA